CTTTAAACGATTCTTCGAGTGTTTCTAATGATCTTCGAATTGTTCTTACCATTCGACGGAGATGCGTCGCGGGAGTTCATAGAAACACGAGTATTCATGCGAATCTACAATGGAAATGAATACACGCCTTCTTTCGTGTCACTCGAATGCAAAAACGATCGTTTCCACAAAGAATTACGCGATGCCTTCGCGTGCAGTTTAATAAGATACAGAGTCCTTTCGATTATTGTCCCGAACTTGGGTCCGCGCTGGGACAATAATCTTATAGGAAGAAATGCTTCAAATCCTCATAAATTCGTTGTTTGCCCAGAGCCCGAGCTTCGACAATAAAAACGGAGGGGCAACAAAGTATGCGCTTGACTGGTTCCCCCCCCCCCCCCGACCTCCAATGGTGGGGATAACGCCTGGACAATAATCGTGTAGAAGTAGCCAGACGATAATCGAGAGGAGTCTGTACTACGTATACCCTTACGAGACCCAAGCTAAACTTGATACGAATCTAAATCCACCCTATAGAAGAGAAATATTTTCAGTGCTGGTGGTTGGTGCAGGGACACGTGAATGACGACGGGACACGTTCCTCAAAGAGGCATTTCGCCATTCATTAGTTCGGCTCTCTCGAAACTCGATCCTCATCTACCCCTGAACCAGGATCGATGTTACTGGCCTGTCCACGTTAGAATAGAGGTGAAGGGAAGGAAAAAAAGTGGGTCCGGTCCGAGGCACACGGGCCATCGATGTGCAGCTTGCCCTGCTAAGGAGGTATCCTCTATATCTGTACACAGTCCCTGGCTATCTTTCGTGCTGCGTGGCTTTGCACCGGCCTGACAGGCACATCTGCCATCGTCGAAGAAAGAGGAAATCGCCGCGAGAAGGCCCACGTAGAATGGGCCGTGTGTTCTGTTCCTGGACCCGGTGCTCGTACCTAACACCTGCTCCTGCGAGCTATTCCTCGTTTCTGGGCCTCTTTTTCTCTTTGCCTTCTCCTCTGATTACCTTATGGCAGAGTGGCCAGAGAGAAACAAGAAGCAAAAGGGCGACATGGATGGAGTGAGGCTCGTGCTGCTTCTCCAAACGATCCGCCACGGGTTACCTGATCCGTGCGGGTTTTATGGTCAGCCCCAGGCTGATCCTAAATGTCCGGAAATCTGCCGACCTGGCTGCCACCCGGACATTCCTTTTAACTTCTCGAACAATCATGACTTTGGGCTCGTTTTGATCTGAGTTCTCGAGAGGCTCGTCCAGCTCGACAGCTTTTGATAACTGATTTAGGGGGGTATGGTGGTTTACGTTGATTCAAGTAAAAAGAGAATTCGCAATACGTTGAGGAATGTTTGGAGAAGGAATGATATGTGTGTATGTAAGTTGGAGTAACTTTGACTCGGTCAGAGGTAATCTTGTTTTAAAGTCAGAATATGATTATTTGCGATTTTGACAGCTCTTTTGAAGGTATTTTTACGTAAAATGCCTGCAAATAAGTTTCATATAGAAATCAATTTAATTTAATAATTTGCAAAGTTCTAAAATCGAAAATGATTATTTTTTGAAGAGACAAAGTTACCTTAACTTATGAATGGCGAAATGCTAACTATCAAAGTTACCCTAAAATATACTGTGAAAACGATTCCAACTTCTGATCGTTACCAAGGGCAGTGAAATTCTACTTAATTCTTTTTTTACTGGTTTAGACTTTCAAGAAATCTGAACAAATTCCAGTTTCCAATGTCTCTTTTGTTCACGTATCTTACGAATTTAAAAGATTCATTGGTAATGTTCATTTAAATCTTAAAAATGGTCAAAGATACCTTCCTCTTAACGAATCCAACGAAATAACCTTGGGTATTAAATCGATTAATATTCAGCTTCCGATTCGTTCGACCTGATATGAATTTTAAGAAAACACTACGTGGTTTCGAAATCCTCTTTCCTTCGATTATGATCGGTTTTACGCAAAGGGGTGTAAAAACTATTAGACACGTGTATAGATAAAAACGACTGTTGGAAGGAAATGTTTCGCAAGACGTGTAGGCAACGTATGGCTCCCTGGTTGCCAAATTATTGTGACACAGGCCGGACGTTTCAGAGGATCATGGACGACGCTGTTTCTTTGGCGAGGCATTTTCTCTTATCGCGTTATCGTGCGTAATGTTTATTCAAATATACTTTTCTAGAAAGTGTTGCGATGCTGCACGAATTCTTATTACGAAATCGAAATTTTATCTGTTCATTCATCAACTTCTATAATACTGATCTATTTAATAGTAAAACATACACGACCGACCAAAAGTTTAGAAGCAGTCACATGTTTGTAGTGAAACAAACGATCTTTTGTAGTAAACGTCTGTAAAAGGAAGTTTATTGTATATTTTAACCAGTTTACAGAAAAAAATTCTTATCTCTAGTCATTTGTCAAAAATTCTTTATTTTATCGAATTTGGCTTACACAAATCGGGGAGTTTGAGTAAAATGGGAAAATTTAGATAAAGAATATTTTAAGAAACTGATAAATATAATGCTAAAAGTTGGTGGAAAATTATTAAAAGTAAAGGTGACCATTTTGATGAGGAAAAATTTTGATGAAGATCGATGTTTTATTACTTTTAAAGTAGTTCTGGCATATACAATACACAAGCCTTTGATTGTAATAAAAAATTTGTAATTTGACTGCTTTCAAACTTTTGAACGACACTGTACGTGCGTCTAGCGATCAACTGTCTGCACTTTTAATTTTAATTTGTTAATTGTATGTATTTCATATGGGTACACATGTGACAAAAAGACTCCTAGTTTGGTGTTTTGTTATCCTGTTACTATCTTAGTCTAATCTACTATTCATGTATTCATTTTGTAATTTTTTCATCTTAGGTTTCACTATTATTTCTATGTGACGATTGTTCAACATATTTATAAATATTGAACGATGTTATTAGCAAGTAACAACCGATTAGTTATCAGAATTAAAATCTTATCAAATCGTTCTAACTTATATTTGACAACAGCTTATTAGATCTCTGAAACTCATCTATTATCTATTCTTATTTACATTCTCACTCTTTTTGTACTTTTCCATTTTGTTTCTCCCTCTCTTTTCTGTTTCGTTCCAGTAACTTCGTATTATATAACAAAGTCGAATTATTATTATGTAATTCTTAGATACGTTCGCGTTTCTTAACAATCATCCTTCCCTTTACACATTATAAAAGGAATTTTCTTGCAGTCCGTAATTCAGTACCTTAAAGATATTTTAATACGATAAAAGTAGAGAGTTTTAACTGTTCTAACACCATTTTTCGAAAAAATGTAGTCAATCAGTCTACGTGTGTCTTGTTGGTCCAAAGAATACAAACTCACCATAAAATAAAGAAAATTGTATCTCCAAAGACTAACAATAATTAAACATTTTTGTTGATAATAAGATAAAATTTGGTTAAATATCGTAATAAATAGTTATTCAGTAGACGATATTATAGTATGTTTGATTACTTCAGTACAATCCTGCTTCTATAATATTAAACTTCGTAAACTTTAGACTCAGTTTTCTCAGTTTCGAAACTAGTGGATATAGAACACTTGAACTAGAGCGACGAACTGTCGTTGTAAAAAGATCCGATTTACTCGGCAAAACTAATATTAAAATGTGAAATAAATTGCAACGGTATTGTTTCGATAAATATTTTATGGTAACAAAATCTGCAGATCTCAGATGACGACCTAATAGAAACACCTCTGAGTAACATACAGTCATGAAAGTGAGTTTCTCCGCGGGTAGCAAGACAATGCATCATCGATTTCTCAGGCCTTCCCCCGTACACCCAACCACGAACGTCGATCGAAGGCTGCATTTATTTGGGTCGCGGACACCAGCGAATTATCTCCTCAATCCTTCCGTTCTTACCGCGTCTCTGACCCCCATTCCCTGCTATCACGCCTTTATCACGTATTTATAGCCGTTTCGCATTGTTTTTTTTTTTGTTTTACCGTTGCCAGGCTGCGGTGAATCTATCGACGCTCGTCTAGACGACAGGCGTTACGCGTTGAAATTCTCATCTGTCGGTGACTGAATACATCTTGCTGGCGGATTTAAAGTGGCTCACGCAAATTTTTAATTATTATAAACTTAGTTGAAAATTTCACAGAACATTCTTAAAAGCTACCAAAAAATCGCAAGGTCAACGATGAAGTTATTGAAAAAGAAACTAAGATATAGAATTTTTCATTGTAAAGAACAAACTGACTTTCAGAACATGTTATATAAAAGATGCAAAAAAAAAAGCAACCGTTGCAAAATATGATCACCTTGAAATTATGTAAATTTTGTATCCAACTGTTTTTCTTACAAGTACTTTATGAATAGTTTAAGATCGTTAGATTAGGTAATTCACCCGTTAGAGTTACAAACGTACATAACCGTATTCAATTATCTTACGTTACCAGAGTTATCATCGTGTACACGATTATTTTTACATTTCGATGTGTCATCTATCTGCAAACTAAGTATTTGAGCTACACTGTCTCCCTAAGGTTTGATTTCAGGTTGAAGTATCAGGAAACAAGTTCTTCGATTCTTTAAATTTCAATAGCAGTGAAAATAGCTTGTTAAAAAGTAATCACGATTCAACTCTTATTAAAAAGCAAGACAATTTTTCAGATGCATTCTGCTAAAAAAATAGGCGCTAATTTTAGTTAGAATTATAGATACTAAAATAACTGATTGTAACTTTTTAAACAGAACTAAAGTTATTCAAAAAAAGCTTAAACGAAAAGAAAAATTGCTTTTGATGTGAAAAACTCTTCAAACCGTCGTAACGCCTCGACTTGAGCGCTTGCAAACTAACTTTTGTAGGGCTTCGCGCAGATTATGTATAAACAAATATTGCTAATTTTACAAAAACAAAAATCCACTAACATTTAAAATTCGATATGGGACCTTTCGATATATATATATTTAAAAGGAAATTAATTTTTTGAAGAGTGTATATTGTTCGATTATGCATTGGCTCATGACTCACCGTATTTCAGATTTTCCAAAATGTCGAACGACCGGTCACCATCACCATCTAAGGAGAGACACGTTGCGACAACTTCCGTGTGGCGTGTGGCGGCGGCCAGCCCATCCGGCCCGGAAATACGTAGGCCTAGACGTCGGCTGTAACGCGGGGGTGAGGCTGGAACAGCTGTCAGACAAAATAGGATCAGTCGAGACATCGTGATCCGAAATTACAAACGATCCTCCTCTGTCTAAATTTAACGGCGTTAGCCCTTTTTCGGGAATCACTCGAAACTTCGACCGCTTCCGGAAAAATCTCCCCCCCCCCTGTCCTCTTTTGTCAAAAATGCGCGCCGCGTGCCTGGCCGTTATTCGACCGGAACATGCTTCCGTACATAACGTATATACGTAGAAAATCCATCAAAATCGAAGTTACGACGAATGCGTCAGTAAAATAAAACTGATCGATTGTGTTTATGCGGACGAAATTTCCGTTTCGTCGAGTTTCATGCAATTGACAACGCTGTAAATGGATAAAATTCGCAGTTTACAAATTAGAAGATTTGGTATTTTTAGTTAGTATTTGTCAAATCCTTTATGAAAATGAGAATTTCAGTATAACACCGAAATGAGAGTAATTCATTTGTATGATTTGAAAATTCGATTAAAAATCGTGTCGAACACGGTAAATAAACGGAATTTATACGAATGCTTTCAGGATTTAACGTTCGTGTTGCACGACTTCCTCCAGACCGCCTTATCGAGCGACCCAGCGGAGATCTCTCTGCTCGGCGTGGACCTCGATCCGATCTTAATCGAGCGGGCACGGGAACGCAACCCACGGCCGGATCGGATTATTTTCGAGTGCCTCGATTTTCTCTCCGAGGACAGTAACCGGACGCTCGAGGAGCACCTACGTCGGCACGAGAAGTTACGGTTCGATGTCGTGTTTTGTTTCTCCGTTACAATGTGGATACACTTGAATTACGGGGACAAAGGACTGGTGGAATTCCTTCGGAAAGCTTGCTCGCTGACGGAGATGATCGTGATCGAGCCGCAACTATGGAAATGCTATAGGAACGCATCGAGACGATTGAGACGATCAAAAGGCGAAGATTTCCCCCTGTTGAAGACCCTGAAACTTACTGGTGATCCCACGGCACACATAGAAAACATATTAACAGAATCTTGTAACTTTCGAAGAGTGACGGTCACCGCGGACAATGAGTGGAAACGGAGACTGTTAATTTACGAGAGTTCCGTACGTTAATCGACGTCAAACTACGGTATGAATATTTTTTACGCGACTGATGACGAGAATTTGAATGTATTCCTTTGATATAGTGACAGAAATAAGTATTCATACACTGAAGACAGTAATATTACTGTTTTACCTCGAGTTCATAACTTTGTCCATCAGACTATGCCATTGACAGAAAATTAAATTATGATGGAATTACGGGAAGAAAATTTCTAACTTAACAGTGCACTGGAAACACCATTGCCAAATGATAATTACAATTACCGGTGTGCGAATACTTTTTTGTCTCACTGTAGTTTGTAATCATCTGATGGGTCACGAATCAAGGGAATACTATTTTCAATTTTCTCTTTGTTACCGGGAAACTAATAATGAATTCCACTCTACTGTCTATTTAGTTCATTTCAAAATTCGAATTATGATCAAGAAGTGAAGAAACATACATGTCGGTTTACTGTTGTTCGTGAATAATATAATTATTTTAAGTATAAAAATTTGATGCCGTTACTGTGGTGGCTAATGTAAATACACCTGAAGACACAGTACTAATGACACATGACAGAGACAGAAGAGAAAAAAGAAATGCATAGCCCACCTAAATAATTTCGATATCCGAAATTCAGACCTATAATACAGTATTGAATGTGTCCTTTTTAAATGCATAACATCGTTATTTTTGTACTCGCTGTTTATTGAAATAAACACGAATCTTACGTACAGCAGATAGCAATTAGTGTTAAAATATTACCCATTAATAATCACACATTAGAAGATGTACTTTGATACAGATGAGAGGGGTGAAAGAATTAACGGCAATAATGGCGTGGAGGTTATAATTCTCGAAGAATGATTCCGGGACCGACGCGAGATGGCAATAGCGTACGACCGTTTGTTCGGCTAATGGCGACGTACGGCAACACAAACTGACATGAACTCTGCGAGTAAGGTAAGCGAAAAGACGCACGTTGTCTGCCGATTTTAGGCAGTTTCCCGCCATATAATACTTAACGGTCATTTCCCTCCCGCCGCTCGAGCTTCCTTTTTCTATGTGAGTCACGTGCTTTTACCCTCAAGTACCCTAGCAATGGAGTCTGTAAGCGGCCAGAAGGTTAGGTTATGATCACGTCTTTAAAAAAAACGTACCTTTTTATTATTTTTTTTTTCTTCTTCCTTTAAAATTATTTTACATATCATGGTTATTACCGCATTCGCTTGGCTACTCGACGTAATCTCGGACGAGTAAAAATATTACTCGATGCTAATATTATATGTTCGAAACGGCCGACGAGTATTTTGTTATTCTTTTAGGTTGGTGAAATTTTCACCGCAGCCGGAGCAGCTTTCAATAAGCTCGGAGAATTAACTATGCAGTTGCATCCCACGACAGATTCACCGGCAGGGTAATTGAAAAAGAAACAGATATAACATTGTTTGTGCCGGAAGTAGAAACGACGCGTCTAACGCTTACCGCTTTGAGTGTCGCTCTGTGTATAGAGAAGCGCGGGAGAATGTCACGTGATACCGGTTGCTATCCTATAAGAAGCTCGAGGCTGTCACTGTATTACAACAGTTTCGAATATAAAGCAATCACGTGGAAAAAATATTTTTTTATTCTGTTGTCTTTTTTGCGATTAAATATGATATAATGATTTTTACGATGTTTCATTTTAGAGATGGTTTATCTTAATTTCATGAGATATCAGATAAATACTGATTATATTCGAATCCACATTTCTTGTAAACGTTCATGCATGTAAACAGTATTATCATACAAATTATTTTTGTATGATTACATTAACGATGATTAATCTAGAAATGTAATATCGCTTTATTGCAAAAAAAAAAAAAAAAAAAAGAAACGCTGGCTGCATTTTTACATAATCCTCTGTGTTGCTTAATCTGTAGTAAATGGACTGACGAGGAAATTGAGATGCTCCGTCACTCGGTAAAGACCTTCAGTGAAGACTTGAACAAAATAAGTGAGCACATCAAGGGGCGAACGGTGTAAGTTGATAAGGCTGCATCGAGCCCACGGCTGTTCCTCAATTTTTCCTACGTCAGTCTCAATCCAATGCTAAACGGTCAATTTCGGCTTTCCAGCTCTCAGATTCGAACAACGTTGAAGAAAAAAGCATTCGAAGAAGCGGGTGTACCGATTAGGCAACAGATACTGTCACAGCAACAGTCGGCACAGCAGTCGGCGGTTGTTCAACAGCAACAAGCGTCGAAGCAACAAGCCGGGAATCAGGGGTTAATGGGCAAATCAGCGGAAGTAACGTTAAATATGTTAAACGCACCGGAATCGGAGGTGGACGTTGAAGGACTACCGGAGGAGTGTCAAGTGAAGCTCGAGTTTGAGGGTGCGACGGAAGAAGTCACCTCTTAGTGTAAGAGTGATCTAAGCTTAAGATAATGTTCACTTAATATACGGCTAGAGTTAAGTATTAACTATGTACATTCGATAAGTTATATTTCTCAGTAAATTCGTAAAAATCATCGTATGAATGTTTCAAGCGCGAAAGAGATCCTCGTCCAAACCTCTGTTTACAATTTCATTCCTATCCGTTTTACCGACCAACCTACCAGCGTTTTCAATGGTGGCGCCACAAGTTGGAAAATCATAGTGCTCGTTGTTGCCAACAATTTTCTTCTGGTTCACCATCATCCCTCTCCCATACCATAGAGATTTTTTCGCTATCCTTTTGGTACTCTGTTGTTTTGTAGCTTCAGTTAGGTCATTCGCATGACGTATCCGACTGACAGATTAGTAATGACACGAATGGCAGCGTCGTACCTAACTCGCTCGAGTAGTTAATCGACAGCGTTCACGAGCTGATCTCTAGCACAATCCTCAGTTTTTAAATCGAACTGCAGCTGCGTTATAGAGGTATTGGCTCGTGCGTTTCCGATCAATGTGTGATGATCGGTACGGTGAACTTTAGTGAACGTCTGCAAACCGAGGCACTTGTGGCTGTGCTCGTCAGTTGTAAACATTAAAAAATCAACACGACCCCTCGGACCATGGAAGGAGGCATAGTAGAAAGTTCGGATACAACTCTAGACAAATCTGACGATGAAATCGCTCTACAAGGATTCTGCAACCCTAAAAAGTTACCGTTTAGAGTTCTTGGACTGGCATTGATGTGCTTATTAGGCTTTGGTACGATTGATACTGCAATATTCTCGTTAAAACGTGACCGAATAGCCATTGTTTATATCTGATCGTTTTTGTTTCGATACACAACGGCCTCATTAATTCTCGATCACCAATGTTTTAATCATATTTTTAAGCCTTTCTTAAGATAACAAATATCCCCCTCGTAGTATTCGACATTAACATTCTACTAACATTGAGACTTACAATATGTAAGTTCAGTAAAATGAAATTTGCATTTTTTGAATATAGGAAGAACTTTTTCCTTTCTTTTAAAAATAATTTGTTCAATTTTAAACGAAAGTACATATTACAACGATTAAAATTTCTTTTGGAAATGAACTTAAACTACTAAGGATAGCAATTTTACATAAATAATTGTCATAACACAATGCAATTATACTATATCATTTTGGACAATACTGCCGTTTTATTGTTTTCTATTGATATTTATAAAGATCACATACGGTCCACGTTTTTTTTTTATCAAATATAAACAAAAATTAAATTATTTTCTATGGACACACTTGTTATAACTCACTCGAAACAAAGAAAATTTTTCCACGCTAAATGGTCTGACTATAGTTCCGATAAATCTGTTATTCATCGAAAGGTACAGCGTAAATACAAATCATTTTCCCTCGGAAAAATTTTACGTATCTGTTGTATGCCTTCCCTAATCGCGCCTTTGCTTTTCTATATCGCATCAGTTATTGCACAATACACATGCATAAGTATCAGTTTTGTAAGTGTGTAAACTATTTAAGCGATATTCTTTCTAACTTTATGGATTGCGGATGTTCCTTTCGTTTCGCACATGTTGTGATAAGACAATATCGGAAAGTCCGCGAAATTATATTTTTTCCCCTCTTAGTATTTCGATATCAACATATTGTTGGATTTCATTTTGAAAAATAATACGGAACACGCGTATTTGCGTTCAGATAGTCGAATTATGAGTCACATTTTGTCAAACATTCAAAGCACACTTGAATGATCAGGTCACTGACCCCCTTGTACATGATTTGCTTATCCAAAGAATGCACTTTCATCCCTTGTGTAGATTAATGTAATTATCTATATAATAATACTGTTCTTTCAGGTTCATATTTTTGCTTTGACAATCCTGGTGCTTTGCAAGACAATTTTAAAACTGATCTGCAGATGTCAACCAGTAAATTTGTCTTACTTTATTCTATTTATTCATGGCCAAATATAATTCTTTGTTTTATTGGAGGATTTTTATTGGATAGCATTTTTGGTATACGCTTTGGAACAGTTATATACATGGGACTTACTTTAATCGGCCAGATTATATTTGCAACAGGAGCAACAATTAATGCTTTCTGGCTTATGATGCTTGGTCGATTCGTTTTTGGGTATGTTCGTTGCTGTATATGTATTTACAACGATGATCATTAGTGTTAATTGTAACATTGTTTACAGTATCGGTGCAGAATCATTGGCTGTTGCTCAAAATAGTTATGCTGTATTGTGGTTCAAGGGAAAAGAACTCAATATGGTATTTGGTTTGCAATTGAGTTTTGCACGAGTTGGATCAACAGTGAATTTTTTAATCATGGAACCAATCTATAAATACGTGTCTCAGTATTACAATGGTCCACAGTGTATTGGAATTGTCCTGTTCCTCGCTGCTCTTACTTGTGTGGGTTCTATGATTTGTGCATGTGTATTGGCTATGATGGATCGACGGGCAGAGAGATTATTAAGAAGAGGGGAGGGAAAAGAAACTGAGACTGTTAGTTTAACAGATGTTAAAGATTTTAAGCCTATATTCTGGTTAATAGCTTTCATCTGCATTGCTTATTATGTTGCAATATTTCCATTTATCGCCTTAGGAAAGTAAGTAGGAATAATAGGAAAGTTTTATAATCATATCATACATAATCTACATGTATTATATAATACTGTTTCCTTAGGGTATTTTTCGAACGGAAATATGAATTTGATGCATCAAATGCGAACACAGTGAATTCTCTTGTGTATTTGATATCAGCTATTGCATCCCCCCTTTTGGGATATCTTGTTGATAGAACTGGGAAAAATGTGTTATGGGTCAATGTCAGTATTTTTGCAACTATAGTGGCACATGGATTACTTGCATTTACATATATAAATCCTTATGTGTGTATGATCCTCATGGGATTAGCATACTCCATGCTTGCAAGTAGTTTATGGCCATTAATTGCTCTTGTTACACCAGAATATCAGCTTGGTACCGCTTATGGAATGTAAGTAGAGCTACATTCATTTCTCTTAATGTATCTAACATTCAAGCAAGGTATAGTTAAGGTAACTCACTATTATAACACTTTCTATTTGCAGTGCTCAATCTGTACAAAATCTAGGTTTGGCTATAGTCGCTATTGTAGCTGGAATAATTGTGGACAGAAGCGGATATTTCATGCTTGAAATTTTCTTCTTGGGTTGGCTATGGAGTATGTCATCCGTTTCTTATACATCCAATTGTTATGATATGCGTTGCAAAAAGTTTTATAATTAACATGTTTTTCGACAGTTTCCTTGATAACCGCTGTTGCAATTTGGTTACTGGATACAGCAACAAGCGGTGGTTATCTAAATATGACGCCAGGTCAAAGAGAAAAATACGAGGAAATTCGACGTACGCCCGAGAGTCTCGAAAGAGAGAAATTATTATCCCCGGAATCTACTTCCGATTTGTCGGCTGATGATCTTTTACAGCCACAGTCCGACATTAGTATCAGAAATCGTTATTTATCTCGTATCGGAGCAATGGTAATTCCTTATTCTCTTAATTATTAAATATATTAATTTTATTTTTATTCTAGTAATAACTGAACGTTAGAATATAATTTACATAGTCCGTCTTTATATTTTTTAGGTACCTCCTTGTTCGAAAGCAACGATGCATCGGCCTTTACGATGATGCATTCCATTTAGAAACAAATTTGAAACATAAATAGTTTAAACCTTTGTTTGAAGCATCGTTAACACAATTTGCTCACTGTGTCTTCCTCTTACACAGCGTTAATCTGTGATAATTTCTTAATTAATACATTTACAATTGACTATAATTCAATTTTAATAAGTCGACAATTCGATTTTTTATTAATAGACAGATGTGTCGACAACTGACAAATAACAGAGATATATTATTTGTTTTACATTAACTATAGCTCCAAAGTTTAATAATAATGCAATTTTATAAATAGTCATGTAATAAGTAACATGATTGTAGCGCAAATAAAACAAGAATTATTTTTTACCTCTTGTTTGACAAAAGGAGAATATACAAAGATGTTAAATCTCTTATTATTGTGTATGATCTCTAATGTGTTGTAATATACTATTATATCAAAATGTACATCTAATATTGTGTGGCTGAATCAAAATATGAAACATGTGACTTATTTTGAATCATTACTGCATACCCGTACATAATAATTTGATATATCTTATCGTACAAATTGCTTCTTTTTACGGCAACAAGCTATTTATGTATCATGAACTTAAAATCCAATTCATTAATGCCTTTTTTATTGTGTTATACGTATGATAAAAAGTGTTGTGTTAAATAAATTGATAGGTATATAAAAACTTTTAGTTTTTTTTAGATAGAGATAATATTGGATTTACACAACATTCGTCACGCGATAATATAAAAAATTAATCGACTTTACGTATCATGTTCGACACATTGCATTGTAAACAAAAGATTATCTCACTGTGCAATGTTTAGTTTCCTTCACTTATTATTTCTTTTCTTTACAAATTTAAACAAGTGGAATTAAAGATAAAAAAAATTGAGAATACTTTTAAATTATTTTCTCTCACATAAACAGAGGGAAAGCCGAATTAGCGAAAGAATAAAAATGTGGAACATGAATTAGTGAGTCTACGCCATTGGCCAGTCTTCTGTCAAGATGCTTATTTGTACACAGCTGTAGTGTGCAACACGTGCGTGCTCGTGGACGCAGTTACCATTCGTGTGTTCGCCGTTTGTGCTAGAACCATCGGCGAAATGGGGGTCCACGACAACATGGATTCGAAGTATAATGTTATGGGTACATCGGGATTTTCGAAGCTGGCACCAAAACGTCCTAACACCGTCGTGTTTACCGAGAGCCCGAGCAAAATTCCAAAACACGAGGGCAGTCAAACTGTCCAATCCGAAAACGCGGATAAAGGAAACATTAACTTACAACAACAAAGGAAATCTTTACCAGTTTATAGGCTTCGAAAGCGGTAAGTGCTGCATCATTCATCTTCCGCTTTTCGCTTGATTTTTCGCTGCTATCTTGTCTCGGGAGCAATATCATGTAAGACGTCCGTGTATGCAGAGTATTATAAAACAAAATGGAGAATCATCGACCGTGCACACTCAGTCATTTTACAGTTTGTCGTATAGGTGGCGCCACTGCACCGCAATCAGCCACTCATGCATTGCGAATATTAATTTAAAGTAGCTATTAAAATTTTCTTTTTTACTTGTATATAATAAATATTAATGATTAATTGTCGGTAATATTAATATTACGAGCAAAAGTTATTTAATTTAATTTTGTATTACGATTATGTAACTTTTATACGATATAATTATTTATTTGGGATTAGAATATGTTGGATATCCGGACGTTAGAAATTAAAAAAAGTGTAAAGAATTTGAAGTTAAAGATGTAGAATTACTGTGGCGGTAGATCGATCCAAAAGTACGCGCCATTTCGAAATGGAGTATTGCGGTCTGTACCTTTCAATTTCTATTTCATTTTATGAGTACACGTAACTTCCACTTCGTTTTATCGCTTCTTCCCATGTTCGGATAAATTCATTATAACAGTTTCATAAAATTTTTATATTTTCGGTTGAAAACTCATCCACATGATTTTAAATGATGTATCTGTTTTTCACATTTTTTCTTACATGTTTTATCGCCTTTTGCATATACATATGTACTTACAGAGTGTCGTCTATATACGGTAAAATATTTACGAGAGCAATAAAACAAGTCAAATGGAACAAACAATTTCCTATGACATCTGATCTACTTGCATTTTGCCATAATAATTCCATATGTGTTAAATAGGGGGGGGGGGGATTTTAACCTAATTTTTCAATCCTCGGAACTCGAAACTTGAAGCGCTAATTTTGTTTAAAAAATTTGGTCTATCTTCCTTTTACGAATAGTTTTTGTATTCTGAAAAGGATCTTAATCTCTTAATTGTTAAAGTAGCATACCCGGAAAACCAAAATGCATAAAAGAAGGTTGACAGCTTAAATCGGGACAGAAGTAACAGATTGTTACTTTTGTTCTTCCTAGCGCTATCTCTCATAAACACATTATTATACGCAAACCTGACTTATTACCATCAAAAATGTTATATCCACCTGAAAATACGTTAATTATTTAATATATCACAAAGCATTCAGACGATTTTCCGAACTGAAATAAAAAGATATACAATTGAAAGAGATATTGCAAACTTACTTTTGCTATATTATTTATTAATACGGTAGTCGTATTATGAAAACAGCTTACAACTAAAGTGGACGATAGATGAAATTTGTGTATAAAGTTGGAGTAAAAGTGTATATCGTTGGTCAATTGGGATTTGTTTTATAACAATTATCACATCCGTCCCATGTTACGTTTGTCCCTGGTCTCCCAAATACGCAGCAGTTCACTGAATACACGAGGAACAGTTTCTACACTCGCGAGCAAACTCGGCTTCCCCTAACGAAGAAAGTGACGTAAGGATAGGGCCTTCTACCATTCGGTTTCGGAAGTTTCTGAAATTTATGCCAAATTACCATGCATTTTAACATTTATTTCAGTACAAGTGGTAGAAGATCCTTCTCCTACGTCACTTTTTCCCCTAGTGGAAGCCGAGTTTGCTCGCGAGGGTACAGACGAGTTGGCTCCAATCTTCTCGATCCGTTTAATTTCAGTCTGCTCGAGGAGATTCGACGGAACAGCACGTTGATCGTGATCGGCGAGACGGGCAGCGGTAAGACCACGCAGATCCCCCAATTACTCTTAACTTCTGGTATCGCCGGCGGATCTGGTTGCATCGGGATCACGCAACCGCGAAGAGTGGCCGCGGTCAGCGTTGCCCGTAGAGTGGCCCAAGAACAGGGGGTGGAGACCGGCAAGCTGGTCGGTTACTGCGTCCGTTTCGAGGACGTCACGTCCCTGCAGACCAGGATCAAGTATCTGACCGACGGTATGATGGTACGGGAGGCGATGACCGACGAGATACTGTCCGATTACTCGGTGGTGATCCTCGACGAGGCCCACGAACGATCGGTCCAGACCGACGTGCTGCTGGGGGTCGCGAGGCGAGCGCAGAATTTACGAAAGCTCAAGAATCTGCCGCCGTTGAAGCTGCTGGTGATGTCGGCGACAATGGACGTCGATAAGTTCACCAAGTATTTTCAAGCACCGGCGGTCTACTTAGAGGGTCGTCAGCATCCCGTGAAGATTTATCACGCCGTCAAGTCGCAGGATGATTATGCGTTCTCCGCTCTTGTCACCGCTTTTCAGATTCATCGCGATAATTCTGCCAAGTAAGCGAGACTCTTTTTACCTACTCACCTTATCAATTTTCTTGTTTTCTTTTTTCGTTTTTGCTATTCCTTTGAACGCTGGGAGCGACTTTTATCTTATGGCTGCTTTAAAACTCGACGACGAACCTTCGTGGATTTGTTGCGCGCGCGCGCGCGCGAATGTACGAAACGCGGTAAAATAAAAATTGTAATGATAATTGATGAAGTTTTTTTCTTTTTTTTTTTTGAATATGATTCTTAATGGTATAAGGACAGGATAGTTTGGCGAGTAACTTTTATTAGTTAACCCCTTTCATTTCCGAATTATCTAACAACTACCAACAAACATTTCTATTTGCATTTTTGTTTATATGACACGACATATAAATAATTCACGAGAACATTTCAACATTCCGAAGGTTCAGAATCGCTTACAAAAGATTGTCTAATTGCGTCCGTGAAAAAACCAACAAGATTTTTAATTAGGATGAGTTTGGCTATAGCAATAAAAATAAAATAATTAAAAAAATGGCGGCAGTAGAATACCATCTTAATAAAGTTGTTGCATCTATAAATTTTCGAATGTTGCAAGACTAAAACATGCAAATTTACATGAAGATTTACTGTTTGATTTTAACGTGATTGAGATATTTTCATGATTATTGTTTATCCGACAAATTTCATATTTTTCATAAATAGTCGTAAAGTCTAAAAGATTGGCTATGTGACCCCATATAATCCAGCTAAATATCCTTCTACAACACGGACAAATACCATTTCGATGTAATTTTAAACTACTCGGGGTTTGTAACAGGATCGCGGGGATTTACATACCCGTTACTTTTATTAGATTAAAGGAAAGCAGTTCGAATGGGAATGGGAAACTAGGTCAGAAGGAAACGGACGATTTCCTGAATTTTTCTGTCTTTTCTCCAGCGAGGACATTCTGGTATTTTTAACGGGGCAGGAAGAAATAGAAGCTGCAGTCGTGAGCGCAAGACAAGTAGCTAAACAGTTGGACGGACAGGGGTATCCGCCATTAAAGGTCTTTCCATTGTATTCGGCTCTGCCGACGCATCAACAATTGGAAGCCTTTAAGCCGTCCCCTTCTGGAATGCGGAAGCTTATTTTGTCGACCAACGTGGCTGAAACGTCTGTTACAATTGGTGGTAAGTTGTAATTAGACTGATCGTGACCGTACAAAATGTCACAGTAGGGATGAAATTTATAAACCATTAAAGTTATCAAGTGGGCGAACAAAACTTTACATGAATCTATGCATATCAGAGAATTCTTTGTTATAGAGTTATGAATGTTTGACATTAGAACTACCAGCGCTGAATGTATACTAAATTAAATTGTATAATATAGTAATATACATAATACAATCTAGCATAATATAAAATGTATAGGAAATTAAAAGTCAACATAAATTCCGCGAAAAGCACCATTGTAATTTCAATAATCGTAAAATAAGAAAACTCCAATCCGTCGTTTTGACGGGTTTGGTAGTTCTAGTGTTAAACATTCTTCGTCGAAAGTGGTTTTCTGAGTTTATGTATGATTATTTAATATATCATTAGACTGTGGACTGTCGATTTTTATGAATTATTAGAATGCGAATGTTTGTGGTAATTAATATTTTCATCGATTAATTGACGAGCATCTTTGAACCTTTTAAAAAACACATTTTCAAACATAAGTTCATATGAACTGTTTCTAATTTTTTTAGCATATTACACGTATAAATTTCATGCTAATTTTTTTGTTACCCAGTGTATACAGTTCAATTTCATGATATTACTCGGTGTAGTAGTAAATCTTTAAAGTAGAGCATGTTCGAATATGATTAGCAATGAAATTGATAAAGGATCACTTGAGCTGTGTAAAGTATTATTGACAAATTTATAGTAATATTATATGGTATATAGGGAAATACAAAAGTGTCCTGCAAAAATATACAAGAATATAGAATAACATGTTTTCATATAAAATGTAGCGTTGGAAGATATCGAAAAAATTCGTATCATTTTCACTTGCCTGATCATTAGTAGTTATTTCTACTTGGTGGGTCCATAAATACTGACAGCGATGTCATTCATTTTCCAACAAAATTTAATATAAAATAATTGTTAGGAAACATTTAAATATATGGAAAATAGACAATATCATGCAATTATCATTGTTTCTTGCAAGTTGATATAGTAAATGATACACGGACATTAAAAAAAAAAATAATTTTTTTTACAATAAGGAAAAGTTTTGTTTTTCCACTTATTTGTACTTTTGCTTTCATTTAAATATTTTGAAGTAGTTTAAAATATTAATCATTCAAATTAAATTAGTAAAATTAATAAAAACTATAAAGCGCCATATGGAGCCCCAGCTAAATACGATACCAAACACAGAAGCTACCTGAAGTCCCAAGTAGTGTAATAAGGCGATTTTTGCACATAGGTATAATTATAATTATTTATCTATATATAAGGTTAGTCAAACATTAGAACAAAATAGCACGTTTAGGTCACCATTCTGCCTTCATCTGACATTCATTCGTCTTCATTCCCAATACTTCTCTGTTTCCCAGGCAATGAAATCGTCTCTATAGTACCACGCGTCGTTAGAAAAAGGCAGATTGGTGACCGTACAGCAGCTAAATTTTTCTAATTTTCCACACGGCCTGACTATGGAAGATATTCAGAACGTCCTGTCTAGGTATTACACGTCTATGTCGAATCCCAATTCCCACACAATTGAAAACACTCCCGTGTCCCAAAAAATTCGTCCGAAAATAATCCCTCCTCCTCCGGGAGTCTTGCGTGAAAAATCGTCTTGCCCGGGAGTCGGGATCGTCCTCGATCGGATTAATTCGGCAAATTGTCCATCGGCGCGCGGGGGCCAATTTCATTTTCCGCGAGCCCCGCAATCTGCTAATATCACGACCGAAACCCTGGGTATACTCGTTCGTGACAGAGTTGATTACTTCGCTCGCTCTCTCGTGATTACATTCGCGGGAGGAGTGGGAGGTTGTGAATGGTGGTGGGGGTGGTGGGTGGGGATGGTGGTGTGCAAGGGATCCCCGTGGTACACAGAGATTTCCCCGATGAAATTACACAGGAATTCGACATGTGATCGACACCGGGGTGGTCAAAGCGCGGACTCATCATCCGACGACAGGATTGGATGTGCTCAGGGTGGAAAAAGTCTCAAAGGCACAAGCGTGGCAGAGGACCGGCCGCGCTGGCCGCGAAGCGCCTGGAAAATGTTACAGGGCCTATACGAAAGAGGATTTCGAAAGGATGAAGGAGATGCCGATCCCGGAGATACAAAGATGCTCCCTGGCGGGTGTAGCGCTTCAGCTGCTCGCGATCGGTGTCGACATCACCACCTTTGATTTCATGGACAAACCGCCGAAGGATGCCGTCGACGTCGCTGTGACCTGCTTGGAGAAACTCGGCGCTGTTAAAGGTAAGTGTCATTATGCGCTACCCTTCTGGAACTGGTCGCGTCTTGGACCGTCGACAGGGTCACCAAAAGCGTCATAAACGGGGATTCCTGGACAGCACAGTGGTCCTCAAGACCGTTCTTTATTACAGTACCGGACAAAAGTATTCGTACACCCTTTAAAACGGAACATGTCTTTTGAAATTGGTTCAAATGACTTGAGTTCTTTTGTGAAGTTAGAGACATTAGTTTGCTAAATGATGTGTACAAAAAATTGAAAGAAGTTCCAATTGGTCGGAATCGCGAAGAAAATAGTAAGGGGCCTATAATGACAATTAAATAAATAGATATTGAAGATTTATGTTAGTTGTATACACGTTGAAAATTTCATCAAAGTCGATTAATGGTGCTACGAATAATATTACGAATTGAAAAAAAATCAATATTTAATCATTTGGTTATTTTAATAACTTGGAATTATATTGAACATTAACGCGAGTTTTATTAGGCGAAGTAAGATAAATAGACTCTATACATGGCCTTCATTGAAATACAAGTGTTACGTTGATGTTATATTCATTACATAATTGTTGTATTGAATTTGAAGATGAATCTTTAAAGACAGTTTTAGCCATCATGGAACATAATTTGTTTAAAAAATAAACATACTGTGTGGCTCTTACTTCTACTTTCCTTATTTTAAAATAACCTGTTTAACAATTTAATAAAACGAACAAAAGTAGACATTTTTTTTAATCACTTTATTTAATTTGGCGGGTCACTTAAGGGGTTAATAATAATGCAAAAGGCATTACAGATAAATGTAATTTAGAAATTTAAAAATGAAGCGCGGAAGATATTTAGGACTCAACCTAATATTTTATTTTTTTGTAAGATAGTGATGTTGAATATTCCTCAAATTGTTCAAGTCAATTTCGAGTCGAACTATTGCTCAAAAACTAGCCGAAAGGCACTAATGTCTCATGTGTGGATCCAGCATAAGGCTAATATTTAATATAGGTCTTCTCTAGCTTAGCAGTTCAAAGGAAGGTCTAAGTGTCAAGTGCTGTAAGACCAGTCTTCATCGATTTTAAGCTCAGGTGCTCTGGAATCTGTGTGACTTTCAATAGCTTCTCTTAATCTCATTTTGTCCATGCAGTCGTTCACTGGTAACTTACACTGTGTCCATTATTGTGGATATGAAAATATCCGTAGATCTTCTAAATCGTAGATCAGTTTTCTGTTCGATGTTTTTTAGTCACATTAATTGTTTTCCTATTACTAAAGAATCAGTGTATTTAAAATAGTCTTTAAGATTAACAAGGTCTTAATGTAGTCTTTAAGGAAACTTTGGTTATTTTTCTGATTTACTTCAGCAGTGTCTACAAGGGTGTAAGCTTTATTCGAATGAAAATAATGTCGATGCAGCCATACAAGATAGAATTATTGCCTAACACAACTCTGACTGAAAGTTTCCAAGAAGATTCTGAAATTCAAATAAGCAGCATCGACGTACGGAGGAAATATGTATCTCGATTTGCGGGAAACAATATGTTTTCCCAGGGTCGTTTCTTTATGGAACAATATTTCATTTCTGGCGTGCCGGTTGCTATCACATCGAGTTTGTCTGCGATTTTCTCAGAACTGTTGCAATTCTATGTAACGGTGCTGAAGTTGCTGTTTAGAGGAATCGTTAAATTTATCGTATAGTTCTTCTGTTATTCGTGTAATCAAAAAAAATTTCCTAATTTTCATTTTCATGTAAACAGAATGTTTTGGAAAGGAACAAAAGTGAGGTATTTACAAGCATTTAAAAAAATGAGCGATATGCAAAGATTTTGAATAGCAATTTTGAGTATTTAAAAAGATATTGAACTACTTAGATAAATTGTTTTTCAATTATTGGGCAAAGAAGAATCAAATTGAAATCATTTGTTTCAATAAGAAATAAAATTTTGAAATACTTGAAGAGTTAATTAAAAAAATTACCAAATTGAAACATTACCATAGACATTTTTTAAAACTACGTATATTGTTCTTCAAGAGAACGTAGAAACGCAAACTATAGTCCTACTGAAACTATTCTATATAGTTGTACCATTATCTATTATTATTCCGTATATTTTCTATCTGTTTATTTAAATTCCAAAGCATTATTTTAAAGAATACGCCACTCAAATAATTCGAATTACTTTTGCAACTGACTTTTCTTAGCAAAATAGAATAATTACAGTGTTGTGAGTGAAATTAACAAAGCTCCATTCTGAATTGAAATATTTACTTCTGTGACCAACGAAAATTAATTTCACTTGTTTATGACATTTTTATTAATCTTTGATCATTATTATCGACATGGTATAGCATAAAATAATAGGAATTATTCTGTGCTGACAATACAACGGAAGTGATTTATACATCGATTTAATATTTAAACGCATCGAGTAAGTGATCGAATCAAGGTGCATCGAATAGAGTGGAAAAATTTCAATTAGTTCGATGTAGAACAATTGATGTCAATAGAGTACTTCTATTTCCCTTCGATTCTCGGTCTGCCAAGCCGGTTACTATGCAGTATTACCATATCATATAAAACTTTCTCATTTGATTTTCACGCGAATAGGTTCTCCGCCGCAGCTGACTACACACGGCAGAACGATGTCCTTATTCCCATTGGATCCGAGATTCACCAAAGTGATTCTCGCGTCTGTGGAGTACCAGTGTCTCGAGGAAGCTCTGATAGTCGTCGCGCTGTTGTCAGGAGAGTCTGTCTTCACCGATCCACCTGCCAAAAGGCAACAGGCTTACGTTGCCAGGTCAAGGTATTTACTTTGTTTCATTTAAGCTAACGAACCCAATAAAATGTCAGTCGAACAAAGAATAAATTCTGAAGCCTAAAATATACTCTGAGAATTTCTTCTATCACAAACAATCGTACTTTCAACTGTATAAATATTTCTTACCACGTATAGAGAATTATAAAGGGTGTTTCAAAATAGGTGTAAATCCTTGAAAGGGGTAATTCCTGGGATGATTTGAAACAACATTTTCCTTAGCGCAAAAGTTCCACGAGGCTTTGTTCACGAGATATTAACGAAAAAACCCCGACCAATCGGAATGCGAGTCTGCTGGCCGAGCTCTGATTGGTCGGGGTTTTTCGTTAATACCTCGTTAACAAACCCACATATGACCATTAGTTTATGAAATATTTAATATCCATTTCCGAGGTGTCTTCGAACACTTATCGAGGATTTACTGTAACTGGATACCTATTTGATAACAATTTCCGTAAACCACTCCATAAATACTTATATCTAACATAAACATCCGCAGTCTATACGTCACAACGGCAGACGTTCCAACGAACGATCGTTTTATCCCCCTAAACGAGGCGTCCCTCCGAGGATCCCTTGGTGTTGCTTTCAATCGGCCCCTGTAGTTGCGTCGCTTAAAAATCCCTGGCAGTATATCTGGGCCAGGTCGGCCCGGGTGTTGTTTGTGCTACGGTGTGTGTTCTCTCGTTCTGTTCTAGATTCGCGTCACCCGAGGGAGACCATGTCACGTTGCTGAACGTTTTTCGCGCATACATGAACACGAAGCAGAAGAAGGTCTGGTGTCACGAGAACTTTCTGCATCATAGAAATCTGGAGTACGCCGCGGAGGTGCGACAGCAGCTCGCCGCATTGGCGAAACGTGCGAATTTGGAGAAGGCCAGCTGCGGGACGAATACCGAGCAACTGAGGAGAGCGCTCCTCGAGGGCCTGTACGATAACCTCGCCGAACTGCAGAGGGATCAATCTTACGTCACTGTGAGTATTCGATTTTTCAATTACGTCTGAGACGCTTATCACCGGTGTCCACGGCGGGAAAAGGGCGTTTGAACTGATGACTTACAGCGATACCTCGATGAATGCGACACGAACAATTCCCATCACTTGGGGAGAGGGGAGGGGTCCCATTTCTGGAACCAATCAATACAAAGTATATAAATAGAAGCTAAGCAGAGGGTTGGCTTCGTACAAAAAACAAATTTATGAGGGGCTGAAAGGCTTTTAGGATTTCCACGAATGCTCCAAAGCGGATCCGAATATGTCGCACTCATCGAGACATTTTCTTTTTTCTTTTTTTTTGGGGGCTGTGGAAAATATGCAATCGCATACCTTGGAGAGTACACGCTCCAAGCAACATTACTGTATCTGGAAATATGGTAATGGAGGAATTTGTATAAGTGCTGGAATCTACGAGGGTCAGTCAAATGAAAATCGTAAAAACGTTTGTAGAAATAATTCATTGAGCGAATGAGGAATACGTTCTGCATCATTTTTCTACAAATATATTAACACGATAAAGTGTATTTAAGCAAAATTGACTATTCTTCATTACGTATAGTGTGTCTTATCTGTTCTGTAATGATTAAACAAAAATTTAATGTACATTATTTTATATGGTTCGTAGTATATTCAAATGGGTACAAATTGACCCAGTATTCGCCAAGTGAAAGTTATTTTTTATTGATGCAAAATATGCACATTATTTTTTTTCAAGCCAGTAATGTTGTTTATAATATAAGAAATGAATTACTTGATTTCCAAAAATGTATAGAGACTACAAGATGTAGGAGTCGTAAGTGTGTTTTCTTCACGAGTTTCATCCTTTTTCGAACCCTTCATTTTTACAAGTTCACAATGTTCCATAGAAAAATTCATCATCGATCATTGAAATGTCCAGTTGTATTAATTAACGACTATCTCCAAGAGGATCAGTTGTCCAATTTAGTCCCTCGACGAAAGAAGGGAGTATAGCGTTTAGTAGGCGAAAAAACTTTACCCCACGAGATTAAGGGAAGATTTTTATTTTTGGCGAAGGGTTCACTTCATTTTGTTGTCGTGCCGGGAATTCGAAGCTTAAACAAGTTTCCCCTGGGTATATAGGGTGCGCACAGTTTAAGTAAGTTTTCCCTGAGCGAGTGAGTAATGAGAATTTAGGAGTAATTGGATTGTACGTCTGTGTAGGTGAGCTCGAAGCAGCCGGTCGCGATACATCCTTCCTCGACGTTACACGGTACCAAGCCGCCGCTAATATTGTTCACGGAGGTTGTAGCCACTGGAAGATGTTACCTCCGCGGTTTGTCTGTCATCGAGTCCACGTGGCTGTCTGAAAAAGGTCTCAATATCGGGAAACACGACTAAAAGACATTTTCCCGTAGAGCCAGCCGTGCTCTTGTGGATCAATTCTATTGTAAAAAAGGAAAAGAAGAAGAAACTGTTCCGAGATGTTACTTTTAACCAGATCGTTGTAATTGCGTGGAATCGACACGACTTGTTTCTCTATTCTCTGTACAGTCGTTTAATAAAATGTTTTTATTGTCTCGTTGGTCGACACACTTATTCTCTGATTCCGTGCCATATCCTTCCATCGCTGAGCATCGAGGAACAATATTATGCTGTAGGGATGGGTTTCTCGAAACCTCGAAACATCTCGAAATCCAATACAGTTTCGAGTTTTGTCGTTCGAAATTCTTGAAAGTCCGGGTAAGGAAAAAATGTAAAAGTGGTGAATAAATCTCGATTATTCGGTTCAAGATGCTTTATGAGTGCTCGGTGAATTATTCGAATAAAATTATGCCCAATTCTGGTGTTAAGAGTTGTTTTAGTATATTACTGAGAACTTTGAACAAAGAAGTAGCAGTTTTCAATATTGAAAACAAAAGCAAGAATGTTTCTAGAAGAATTACCAAACAATTTAGCTGTTAACAATATAAATAATTATACAATAAATATAGTTCCTTTACCATTCACGAATTTATTAGCCTGTCCTTTATTCCTCATGTAAGAGCAGTATATATTAAAATAAATAAGATATATCTGTAACATGTAACAGATCAGAATATAAAGAAAAGTATTCCACGTCCTACCTGGAATCCATCGTATTTATGAGATTCTGTAGTCTAGTCGCGTTTGACCCAGTCGCCGTCTTCCACGTTTTACATTTCCAAAGTTACTAATGAAAGTCATTACAATGTTACAAAAAATTCTACTTTAAATTGGTGCTCGGAAATTTTTGGGTCTAACCTTCTATACAGAAATATAAAGGTTTTAATGTTTTCATAAATTTCTTTTTCACCCGAATCCGAGCCTCAGCATAGCTTCTGCTTAAACTGTTTTGATTGATTTCAGAGGGGGACATCCCAGTGGTGGGAATAACGCCGTTGCTCGTGTCGCATTCATCGAGGAATCACTGAACTTTCCGCGATGGATATGTGCTAGTTTTACAACATGCTTTTGTTGGTCGCTGTAAATGAAAACATGCTAATTTTCGATGCCAAAATCGCACCGTGTTACTATTCGTGGTCACAAAGTCGACAATTCCAGTCTTCGTAAGACAAATGAACTTTTCGTAACGCACGCCGAAGTGACGTTCGCAGTCGAACGGTTACAAGAAGACCAATTCGAATTGGTCCACTAGTACCGGATATAATTAATTAGCGCGATCAAGTTATGTCTGTCGATTCTGTATAAGTGTCCTCGTTCGTCTTCCTCGCCCGCGGAAGAGTCAAACCGAACACAGACACTTGGCCGCGTTCCGAAGTCATTAGCAGAAACGCGTCGATTAATCATACCTGCGGCAACACAGAGGGGCGGGTGTTGTCTTTATTGCACTTTGCGTAGCAAACGGGGGACAACAGGGACTTGTAACACGGTCCAGGAAACACGCAAATTGACGTCTTCCTGCAACGATCGAGTTATGAAGACAAATAATTCGTCGATCTGTTACTGTCCACTGCGGTGAGTTTTTTTTTTTCAACTCGCATCCCTCTCTGTCCCGACTGATCCAGATGATTCCTGGGTGGGGAGGGAACGTGACAGGCGGCTGGAAGGTTAATTAACACTGTGCAAACAGTTTGTTTGATGAGGACGGAACGGACACGGCATAGTCCGTCGTTCGGTTGAGCGCGTGTCCGCTACAACAGGTGGCTACCTCCAAAGTATTCCCCTCGCGATCCCATGTAAATGGCACCCCCCCCGCCCCTCCTACTATTTTCATCGTCGCGCCACGCAATTAAAGGGGCGGTCGTATGATATCCGTCATCTAAGTGCCGGGACGAAACAGCTGTTGAAATTGTTGAACGTTGAAACTGGGTCGATTAGAGTATTACGGGACCGGTTAGGTGGCTGTCCGTAAAGGGAGTTTCAACAGGGACTTTGTTTATATTGTTTCACATTTAATATTTATTTGTTAGGAAATTACGAATTTGTGTTGTTTCAATTATGTCTGTTTTCGTTTTTCAAAACCCTTGGCCATTTTTTTTAAATACCGATGAATTTTTTACGATTAAATAAATAGTAGATTATTTATCGATGTAATGAATACGCAGCTTAAACATTAGTCGCTGTGGATAATGTTGTCGGTAATGTAGTGTATAATTCCTGGAAAGTTTTTTTTCACGAGGACACAACTAACTGTTTGTATTGTGTTCAAAGATGTCAATTTATCAAATTTGTAGTATTTGTTTCGTTTCTTTCGCTTGATTGATAACAATACGACCACTCACAGTATATCTAACTTTGGTCTGGAGATTTTTTCCTTTACCTAATAGTAGTAATGACTAGATTTCGGACGTTTATGCAAATATAAATTGTTGACAAATTCACAGAAATTGGAATTCAAATAAGATTTATTTGTTGTCTTAAAAGTTATATCAGGTTTCAAGTAATACGAAATTTTCATTAAATGTTATTAATTAATTGTATCTTTTGTATTTTCAGATGGTAGTGTGCATTATGAGTGCATAAAATCTGCAGTCTAATAATGATAATGATGTGTGGTTTGTAAAAAATTGTACATACTGCCGATTGTAAAATCATCTACTGTAATGTTAATTTGCATAAACATTCGTAATGTGAGCATAATAAGGTTTAATGCAAAACAGTCATTGTAATTTTGTTGTTTGGAAGGTAGTTCATATAATTAATTATTTACTGCATAGAATCAGTTGCATCGTACTTTGTTGATAATGAACAAGATACTTCTGGTATTACCAGTTGATTTCGGTGCCAATCGAAATTGCACGTAACCGGATCATCATCGCGAAATTATTTAGCAGTTGTTACAGGTGTTAATAGCATATACGAGTGTTCACTTACTGGCATTAACAGGTTACGTTGGCCGCAAGAGTATTCCATAGAATTGCGCTGATTACAGTGTTGGTTAGCAGATATTGAATTCACCGCGTGTAAACTAATGATTGTCCGATGACAAACGAATACGATGTCGCACCTAATTGCATGTATTATTTAGAAACCTTGTATGTTTGGACAAATCATTATAGGTCACTTTTCTCTGTGACCATTCGCCTCGGCCTTTTCATTTTATACGAGAAAATAATTCTCTCTCTGAATAATAAAGGAAAAAATAGAAAAATATCCTTCGTCGAAATGAAAAAATTAACGTAAAACTGAAATTTATCGTTGATTTTTCATGGGAATACCTTGTCTTGAAAAACGATCGGTAGGAGGGGGGAAGGGGGCTAACCCTTTAAGCCGTCCACCTTTTACCCAGTAAGTATAATCCGCCCACAGGACGAGAATAAACAGATCTCATTGTCAGAAGAGATCTACTTCGCGTCTAAAGCCTAGAAACGGTGAAAGTACAAGGTCGTACGGCAATTACTCGGATTAGGTCGTCGTCGAATTATTCACGGAGCCAACGCGTCACTCGTGTATTTCACGTGCTCGTTCTATCGAGTTATCGTCCGTCTTCGCCGAGCCGAGCCTCCTCTACCCTTTCTCTTCGAGATGGCTGTTTCCCCGGGCTTCTCGTTTCCGACGTAAAATCGCATTCCTCGGTGTCGCGTGGTATTAACCGTATCAGCAAGCTTCATCGTGTAAGGTTCCATCTCTCCCTCTCTCTCTCTCTCTCTCTCGACTTTGCTCGAGCGTATTACGCTTTGTCGTCTCCTCGTCACCCCATTTACCGAGAAACATCCCCTTTGTTCTCAGACACGTTCCTTCCATAAGATCCTCCTCCCACCATCGTCTCGAAGGGAGGGGTGCCTCGACGAGACGGGCCTTGTGTCTCGTGTCTACGGAATGCTCGATAAGCATACTATTTTCCACCATTCTTCATCGGCGCGACTCTCATATCCGGGCCGGTTGGGCGTTTCGCTCCCGTGAGCTCTGATCTTTTTCCATGGACCCCAGGTTCAACGGCACCTGGTATTAAATTCCCCCGGGGCTTCTCTCTTAGTTAATCGAGGATCTTCGTTTCAATGGGTTTTTTAATTTATGGCCTGTAACGCCGCGGAGCGAATCGATTTAACGACGGGCGACGCCGATGATCCGTATCAGTGGCGGCGACGCGATGTCTGATGTGATTCGACGTTCGGTTTGTCGAGCTCCTGGAGAGGCAATGGTGGACAGTCTTGAGTAGAATGATTCTGCGTAATTAATTTCGGACTGTTTAGGGTACGTCAGAAACCTTCTGTCGATGTTTGGAATTTTAAGCTGTAGAGAACTGGAAGGATATTTTTAGCCTACAGAGGGATCGCTTATTTTTCGTAGTAGAATGGACTTATGTTAAAGTAACGCTGCGGGGCTTTCGAGGTGGGTTTCTCCTGGAAACGCTACTTTAACGTGAGATAATAAGCACGCAGGATCTTTTGGCAGTTTGGTCGATCCACAAATTGGATCAGAATTTTGGTTACAGAAGGCGACCGATAGTGGGGTGCACGCACGTGCGTGAGTTATGCGTGTGAATTGGGGCGTTCCTACTGCTGTTCTTAGGAGATATAATCCTATAACTTTCAGTAATTATTTTTTCAATACTAATTTGACATCTGGCTAATTTTCTTTGTTATGTTGATTTTATTTCGGTTTGAGTTGTTGCATAATAATTTACCGACTAATATTATTAAATTTACAAGTTACAAGTTGTAACTTAATTATTACGTTATGAATTAATATTTAAAAAAATTAAGATGAAAGAGGCTTGTGGTTATATTAACATTTAGTTTATTCAGAGTCGATGCTCATTGTCAGCAGCGAAAAATTAAATAAATCCTTGTTGTATCCTACTTTCGAGCCAGAATGGGAATCGGTAATAATAGTTAAAGGCATTTTTTTTGGCATCCATTGTGTACGCGAAAACAATGCGAAAGATTTACGTACACACGAAAATGACGCGGCTTTGAGTTACAGCCAATTTTTCATTTCCGGAGTGCGCATAAAACTAGTCGGGGCGGATAAATGTGCTACCAGACTATGAAAATACGACTTATGGGAATGTTTCTGCCCTTTATGAATAATGTTTTATCGTTGAAACGTTCGAACGTTATAATCGTCATATTTCGAAATGTAAGTAGATTTTTTTAAAGA